TCTTGACACATTTTCCCTAAGTATGAGCTTTTATACTTGCTTAAGATTACTTGTTTGATAATGTTCACTGGTTTTTTCAAAATAAATTCACAAATTATTTGTTTTTCATCAGTTTAATCATTTCTTTTCAAAACGTTTTCAATTCAAAATTTCAATTTTTATTCTATTGATAAAATTATATTTTCAATACACTTTATGTATACTTAACATATTTTTAAATTTATTAGTATTTCATTAATTTTTATTTAACTTTTAATACTAATTATAGACTATAGTACTATTTGTATCATATATATTTGTGATTATTTATAATATGTGCTTTTATAGTTTAAAAAATAAAATTATGAAATTATAAACCGATAAAAAGATAAACAGGTTTCTTTATATATAGGTATAAGAGTATAAAAAATACTGTTTTTATTTACAGTTCAGATATTTGCAACAATATTTTTTGTGTGTCCTTTTTATATTTTTGTAAATAAACAGTTAGGTACCATTAAAGTTATATAATATTTATGTAAGTATATATGTTTATTTTTTTAAATACGTTTTCTTTCTATGTAAACAATTTCTCTTAAAACCACAAAAAAAAAACAAAATGACAATTGAAAATAAAAATGAAAAAGCTTTTTTGAAGTATAAAATAAAAATTAAGGAAATCACACTTTCGACCATTCTATAAGATCGTGGTTTTTTTACGGTACGAATTTGGTAAATATTTATAAACTATAATTAATGTTCAAATATGTAATTTAATTTATATCAATGGTACCATTATAATAAGCTGCGGAGTGTAGGCCAAAATTATAATTTATGAAATCTACAACTCCGTTACTGCAGTTTCTATAGCTACGATATTCGGGACGGACTGACATGACTGGCATATAAAGTATATTCTATGCGTAGGTAGTACCTATTTAAAACTTGTGGAACGTTTTAAAAAAAAAAAACAAATTTACATCGTTCTGTGTAATGTGTAGCGAAGTAGAAGGGAAAACGTATACAATTACCCTTGTTAAAATAATGGGCTTTTTTTTATGTATACCTTGGGAAAAATTAATTTCACAGTAAACATGTTCAAAAGATGTGTGAGACTCGGTATGATGGGCGAAAACGACAAAATTGTGCACCGGCGACTGTGGCAACGTAATAAAAGTGCGTATGTACGTGTATAGCGACCCAGGGAACTGGTAATAAAATAATAACAAATTAAAAAAATTAAAAAGAGAGAAAATACATATTATGTTTGTTATTGTATAATTTTTTTTTATGCACATAAAGCGATGTCGTTGTTTAGTTAATTTGAAAGCTGGTGCTATCATGTGTTACTATATTATAATTGTACAATATATACATAAAGGTCGCTTATTTATAAATTATAAGTTTCAGCTTAGGTACCTAGCATTATTATATTGTATTGCGTTAGCTGAACAAGTGCTTATATATCCATCGTTATAATATCATATTTCGTAACCATTAAAATAATATGCAGTAATATAATTAATTACAAAATATTAATTTGTTTTAATCGTCTCAAACAACAGTTATCATGTACCGTACTCTAGACAGAATATGTATGGAATGATGCGTACGCATTTAAACTGCATGTTCGAACCCTCATTTTTATCGGCGCACAAGAGTGAAAAATTATGAAGGCTTTCGTTGAATAACAACACAATTTACATAATATATAATAGCCAGCTATCTCGCGTGTAGGACCAAAAGCCAATCAATCATATTATTACACTCGAAACCGCTAAACTATTACCTACATCATCGGTGCAGGGTATACGATAAAAAAAATATTCGATAATATTTGTGATGCGATTTCCTCAGACGTGTCCAGAAAAGTAGAAAAGTGTCCAATTTGACGACCCCCTTCCCCCTCTGTCGAGGGTTACATGACGCGTTGAGACGTGTATAAAAAAAATCATCTGTACAGAATACAAGATATTATATTATATACGACTATTGGTAAAAAAAAATGTCAGCGATACGCACGACGAGCAAGTATATAATACTATATACGCGTATAATATAATATGACGGGTACGACGTGTATCTAAGATTACATCCCCGGACTCGTGTGTCGCGTAGTCGTATATAGTTAGTCGTTCGCGCAGTTCAGAAGAAGAAAAAAAATCGTTTTCCGACCGGCTTTTTCCACCACGTCGAACCGAAAACGCTTTCGTCGGGTGGTGTGCCACTCCGCGCACACACTGCACAACACACACGCCGCACACATACATTATTATATTCACCGGAGTGATGTGATTGATGATATTATCGTGTGTTTCGGGTCTATATAATAATACATATTATAACGGCGGCGGCGGCGGCGGCGGCTCGGAGGAAATCTAATTGAATCGCCGGCCGAGGCGGCGGAAAAGCTGCAGACTTTATAATATTTTCTCGGAGGCGGCCGCCATCGTTCTCTCGACTTTCCCCCTCGTCGGACGAACGTATAGCAGTTCGACGAAAACTGGCTCGAGTTATCCGTCGAGCGGCACATCATCCGTAGTCGAATTATTATCTCGTACATTTTATTATTAGGTATATATTGTGCACGCGATCGGAGCGATTCTCTCTATAAATAGACGACGGCTGACCCACTTTTATGTTGTGTTATTATTATTTTATTCTCCTCGACGATATAATTATACAACATATTATAATATTATATTATTATTACGACGGAACTTTTTATATATATATCATCGAGCGAATACGTCTCGTAACCGGGAAAACTTTTTTGACGATCGGCGGGAAATGCGTTTGAGTGTTTTAATTTATAAATTGTTTGGAAAAGTCCATGTTTGTCTCTATATACGAATGGCCTGCATGTTGTCGCCCGCTAAGTTATTGACGTAATGAAACGAGAATATTATATTAATTACAGTACTGATTATAATTGATATTGTGTAAAAACTTTGTGATATCACAAACGGCCGAGACCCAATTCAAATTATTTTAATTAAATTTATTTTTAATCCAGACGGAAGGATTAAAGTTATTATGCATTAAAAAAAAAAAAAAAACGAATTTATAATAACTGTATGGGGTTATAATATGTAGGATTTTTTTACTTTTATTTTTTTATTTTTAATACCACATTATACGCGTATAGTGAAATATGGTTTTTATGAAAACTGAAACAGGTGAAAAGTACATTTTACTAAGCATACGAAAAAGTCTACATGGGAAATATTAGAGTTAGATACAGGAAGAGAGGTTGCTGGAAAACATGTTTGGAATAAAAAGTTGTCGTAAACTTACACTCTAAAATTCTTTTGTATAAAAATGTTTTTGCATTCTTAAAAATGCACGGACAGGTTACTGTCACGCTTCGTTCACCACAGCACAAGTCAGTGCCGTATTATATTATCATCACTTGACGCTATATATAATAGTTCTAAAAAGAAAAACTGTATATTACTATGACCGCTTGAAAATATGCTCTAAAAAATATCAAGATATGCAAAAAGAAATAAATAAAAATATTATACTCGTACACTCGTGCGTATACAGTTGTACTTAGTTACTATCAAAAACCGTCGAAAATAATGGTATGACAAATATTTTAAGTTTAAAAACTCATTACTCAAAATAAATACAATTTTCATTTATCTACTTTAAAAGTGATATCTTATAATGATCCTTAATTTTTCAAGCTAAAGTGTAATCTAACTGCTCTAACTGAATTAAATGTTATATAAACTTAATACTTATAAATGTCTAGTACAGTAAAAATAATCATTCGTCACGCAATCATTACCTAGTTGTTACATTACAAGGATTTTGTTACTATATATTGGATTCTGTAAAAGGTGATAATAACATGCTTGAGTTTTATTAATTATGCATGTAGATACTGAACAAAGTTTTTTTTTAATTTTTTATATCATACAAAATATAACTAAAATGTAGACATCGACTATGGCAAATAGTTTATTTAAGTAATAATATAAATTTATTTATGTAATTCAAAAATATTTTTTCTATTATATATATTTTTTTGAGGTACACTGATTAAGGTATATCCTCTTTTCATATTTTCAAGTGGTAGTCGTTTTAATAAGCTGCGACATTTTTAATTAAACAAGAATGTTGTGTTTCTTTATTATCTATATACTTGATAGGTACTTAGTTATTTAATATTAAACTTAAATTTAAAATACCATGTTTATGGTATATGTATGTACAAATTATTTGATTGATCTAAAAATATGTGTGTACTTACATTAGGTTGATACTTTTTAGTTTTTACCTGCACCTATTACAGCAATAATATCAAAATGTTTATAACATTAGAACTTAATTTTCCCACATTTCCTCGGTAGTTATAATTATTAATTACCAAATAATAGTTAGATAGGTGAAAAACTTTACCACACAATTTTCGTAATTTAATAGAGAACTTATGTACCTATATCATTATTTATGATATTCCAACTAAATCCTTGACATATAGAATATCAAATAATAATACACTAAACATTAATAATTCATACTTAGCCGAGATGTAATTTATAATGCGCAATATAATTCAAAGAAAGTCTCGAGGGAGGGGGGTTGACGGGGGTTGTTTTAAAACACTCCTCCGGGCATTGATTATATATGAGTTGTTGTGTTCTATAAATGTCCGAGCAAGACAATAATTCCGAAAATTGTTCTCAAGAATTTGTAGTTTTAAACTCGATTACATATAAAGTTGTTAACGTGGCATAGGTCCAATTAAATGAACCTTAATTCCCTAGTAATGTGTCCTGTGCATTGTGTTGTCTTTGCGGAATAATGTAAACGCATTGAGATTTATCGTTATTATAGTTATTATAGTTATTATTTTGTTAACGTGTTTTCTGCGGTACCCGATTCCAGAATATATATATACACACACCCATTCGCTAAAATACGACCTCAATTTTAACCGAAATCACGTGAAACGTCATGATATAATAATAATAATATGCGTTATAATTAATATTGTGTTACAGTCGTTAATGCAAACCCACGACGTAGCGGCTCACGAGATATTCGGCGAAGAAGCTGTCCGCGTGACGCCGCCGTTGGTTTTGCCGTATCTGAATGGCAATGGCATCGATGACGGCGAGAACGGTCTGGACGACGACATCGAACCTGAGAACGTTACGCGTGTCAGACTAGTGCAGTTTCAAAAAAACACCGACGAGCCAATGGTACGCGATTTGTTTTTAATTTTATACCTGTGTGCACTAGGGTGGCCTTTTGTCATATAGGTGATTTTTTTTTATAACATTTTTTTCAGTCTTACCCCCTAAATTGGTTCAATTATGTGTACCTACAAATGAAGTGTACAAAATTGCATGTCGATAGATTGAGTTTAACCCCTGCCCCTCAGCCCTCAAAGTTCAAATTATATGGTTCTGCTCAATTAACCACAGTTTTTTTTTTAAATGATTGACTGCTATCTCGTTGTTTCATTTCTTACAAAAATATATCTTTGACATTATTTATAGTAAATTACATTTTCTATAACTTTTGTTCTATACAGTTTTTTTTATTAACGTAATATTTATTAATATCACCGAATTTAGGGGGTAAGACTGAAGAAAATACAATATCAAAAAATAAGGGCCACCCTAGTGTGCACTATATTATCATACTAGGTATACACATATTATGTGACTTGGTGCAAGAAAGGCCGATGTCATAGACGACCATTGTTGCGGGAAATTTAACTGTAAAATAGGCCAATTTAAAAAAAAAAAATCTAACAATTATAGGTTCTACCTACCTATACGGGTTAAAGTTCTGGAATTTCGATGACTAAATAAATTGTCCATACTTAATTTAATGAAACATGTTTTGTATTTTGCGAAACCAGAAAATGCATTTATTTTATTTTCACATTGGCCCTCAAAAATACCCTAAACAAATATTATTTATGTCTGATATATTCAAATATTATTTATGCCAAAAACTAAAATTATAAAATAAACAATATTTTAATAACTAAACTTAACCGTCTAAACTTTTTATTAAATCCTAATATTATATTATATCTAGTAGCATTAAATTACACATAATATGTAAGTACCTCTTTTTTATAAACTTTACCGATTGGTTTCAAATGTCCAATGGACCAATGTCGAGATATGACCGTAATGTATACTCACTGATATACTTCTATCGATTAATTTCCAAATTGCCAGCGTGTGTATTAAGTTGGTCATACTGCATCAAAGACATTGGCCGTTATAACACAAGTAATATAATCAAGTATAGCTGCGGTGTTAATGAAATTTTTCAAATAATCTAAAATTTTTCCAAATTTGGCTGATCTTTCATCAATAAGCCACAGATATAAACTATATAATACACATAGGTGTGCATATAGTAATAATAATAATTCAAAAATATTGGTTTTTGAGTTGGCCCAATTAGTGGTCAATTTATCATGGTGTATAAATACATAATGTTATTTAATACAATTATTAATTGGAATTTCGTTTTTAGGGTATAACGTTGAAAATGAACGAAGACGGTAAATGTGTGGTAGCGCGCATAATGCACGGTGGTATGATCCATCGTCAAGCCACTCTGCACGTGGGAGACGAAATCCGAGAAATCAACGGTATATCGGTTGCTAATCAGTCTGTGGGAGCGCTTCAGAAGCTTTTGGTAAGTAAAATTCTCCGTATCCCTTTAATATTATATAGGTATAAGTCTCCCGGGCGCCCCTACGTGACTTGAAACTTTGCTTGCTAAGTGTCTCCCACCACCAAAAAAAAATTTCACACGACGCGATAAAATAGTCTAGTACCCAAATATATTTTCTTGCATCATTATTCAATATTCACCGAAACCCAAACCGCGTATTGTTTCGCGTGGGTATAGTATATAGTGTAACAGCACGATTTAATGAGACTCGCGTGCACCCATTTGGCGAAAAAATTAACCGAATTTCTGCTCGAACATACCACCTACGGGGGCGGGGGCGTAATATTTAATTAATTATAAAAGTGTACCTGTATGGATCGTGAAAAGCTACTCATTGTATTAAGGCCGTTGTTTGTATACTCTGATGGGGGTGACCTTTCAACGTGGTGCAGCAGCGTACTTAAGCAACGCGAATATAAAACGCTGAATAACCTTCCCACCGACGACATTTTATATACGCTACTCGGGTATCAGCTATAAAAGCCTAATTATTTTTTTATTTTCCCGTAAAGTTTTCATTGAATTAAACGAAACAAAAAAAAAAACCCACGTCGTACCCTCGAGACCCCATCCCCGCACACCCCGTATCCCGTATCTCGTATTTACCTCACTGATAGTTTAGTAATTGTTCTCGCATTATTATTGTGATACATTGTATTCAGACGTTGTTGCTTCGTTTCGTTTGTTTATAGAGAGAAGCGAGAGGATCCGTCACTTTTAAGATAGTGCCATCCTACAGAAGTGCACCACCACCGTGCGAGGTACAAGTAAGCCCAAGTGTACTCTATCCGGTGTTGGCCAAATTAAAAAATCATCCGTCCATCGATTAATGTCATCTATATATACGGAAGACATTCAATCGATACATTTTTTTTTTTTTTTTATTACTTATTATACCTTATTATTATTATTATTTTTATTATTATTATTATCATCATTATTATTAATTATTATATGTATTACAAAGTAAAAAATTTCTAACATAATTTACACTATATTCATTAATATTTTTTTCTTTTAAAATTTGGCCTACGTCAGAAATAGAACTTTTAATATCAAACGTACTGTGTTTACAGTTTGTGTAGCTTATTAAAATTAACCTTTTTTCCATTTATTTTGATATCATTGTGTGTTTTTTTTTTTAACCATTGCTCATATGTAGTTGTTCAGGATAAAGCCATTACCTGTGATTGTAAGTACCTACGAATTTGATCATCTAATTAGAATTTATGAGAATGTGATATTGTAGTCTACTAATTGCTTATACTTTCTATTAGTTTCGTTGCATTATTTCTCAAACTTAAACGTATTATGTAGTTAGTTTTATTTATTTCAAAACCAAACTATATTTTATGACAGACTTATTTATACCCGATTTCCTTATATTTGGACACTTATTTTTTAATATTTATTTATTTCGATTTCCCCGAGCGCAAATTGAATTACTATTTACTACTCTTAATATGGAAATTTACAGAAGCTGAATTAGGTACTTCCTTAACAGGTTTTAATTTAAACTACGCATACTATACGACGTATTCAGTCGTTGAGTAATTGTTTTCATTAATCGAAGAATATATTTTATGTAGGTACACAATTTCATATAATCGTGGATTCGGTTTACAATACAGAAATATAATACATTATTTTTTTTTTTATTACAAAGCCATCAATCTATTTAATACTTAATACAGAGCGAATTAAGATTACCCGTACTCTAAACTAGTTATAAATGTATTGATTATTATTTAAAATATGTCTTTTTCTATTATCTATTATTATAGTTATATATTTATAATAAAGCCAACATTTTTTTTTATTTAATTGATAAAACATTATTATTTATTCATTTATCCAATCGCCCTTTCCGTATCGATGTGTGTTCCGTAGATATTCGTCCGTGCTCAGTTCAGCTACGACCCGCTTCAAGACGACTTAATACCATGCGCACAGGCTGGCATAACGTTCAATATCGGTGACATATTGCAGGTATGTAAGTCGTTAGTGTTACGCTGATCGATGGACTGACAAAATTACATTATTTTTATCTGACATTTTTTTTTTCCTCTAGATAATCAGTAAAGACGACCACCATTGGTGGCAAGCTCGAAAAGACAATTCAGCCGGTTCAGCTGGCTTAATACCGTCGCCAGAACTCCAAGAGTGGCGTATCACCTGTAAAGCTCTAGAAAATTCCAAACACGAACAAGGTAAATGATTACAATACAAATTGTTATTTATGGATTTCATGGTTTTTCGTGTGACTTGGTTTTTTTTGTTGTGCGTTCCTAAAATATGTGTTGCTTGTGTGTTTCTATTTTATAACTTTGCCGTACCTATCAAAAGAATCCAGTTGCTCGTCGCACGAAGGGTGTGACGGTACCACCGGTAAGGTTTTTGCTTCTCGTAATTTAATTGATTTTGCTTTTTAGATAATATGTCACGATGATGTATTTTAGAGCTGATTGTTTCTAGCAATATGTTATATTACTGTTAACGCATAATTATGTTATATATATATATATTATTAATGGTATATATTTATACTTATTTTGTGTGTACCTTAGGGATGGTCCTCTGGTTTAGATGAAGGAAAAAAATTGCAAAATTTTCAAGTTACCCCCCTTCAAATCGATTCCAATACTTAAAAAAAGCATAAGTAAAAAATTTCAGACAAATTGATCAACTTTAACTCGTGCCACAAATGCTCTATAGTTTTAATAATAAAAAAATGTTCGAAATCGTTGATTTTTCAATATAATTAATCATAACTTTTAAAATAATGATTTTACAAAAACATTGTAAGGACTTTAATTACACATTATTATTATTACAACAGTTTTATACCTATACATTTTTTTGAAATATTTAATTTTTAAAAATATTTGAGTTCAAATTTTAAAAATATAAATTTGTAACTATTTTTTAACGTGGCAATAAATAAAATGTTCTCTATATCATATTATAATCCGATTTAAATGAACATAAACTTATTTAGGTACTGTATAATATAGTTTGTAAGTTATACTACACGTTGTAATCTATAATATAAGAAATTAGTATAGAATCGTTAGGTACGAATAGAGTATACTGAGTAGTAATACTAATACTTGCACCTATATTTTTCGATTATTACGTGAAGATTATTTCCATGACACATAGTAACATTTATTACTCGTACAACGAAATTAAGTATTATCTACATTCTACAATCTTCATAATTGTATATTATTAGGTACACTTAGGACTTACGTACGTGATGTGTTATCGGGCCTATTAAATTATTATAAATTGTCAATTATTATTTTGCGATTTATTGATTTATTTCTCAGTTGAATTATAACAACAACCAGTTGTTTTTTCGATGAAGCTGTGCCACTGGAGGCTAAAAAAATGATTCATGCTCTAAACAACGACGATTGTTCATCAGAATTAAGTTCAAATGCACAAAAATTAAACAACTATATCTCAAAAAAATGCAAACGAGTTTTTAGAAAAGGAAATCTATGATTTTATATGTGTCAATACTAAAAAAACTATTTAAACGATTTGCAATCAATACCACTTTTTTGATTGAAGACCCTTTATATTGGGACAATAATGAAGAGTATAATAAAGCTCTGTAAGTTTTAAATAATATCCCAGTTATAAACGATGTTGCCGAAAGAGGAGTAAAAATTATAGAGGATTATAACAATAAAATAATCAAAGATGAATCTCAAAAACAATACCTTCTAGTTTCTACAAATTGTTAGTGTTAGAGCTTTTGTGGCACTGGTTAAAATTAAAGAATTTTCATGAAACTTTTTTTGTATGATATTTTTATAGTTGAACATTTTTAGGGGGGGGGGTAATCTAAAAAAAGTCACAAATGAAAAATAAGGACCACCCTAGTGTACCTACATCATACATACCTATATTATTGATTATTAAACATTGTGAGAAGAGGCCAGAGGGTTAGGTATAATCTGTCAATCTTAAAAATAATTTGATTTTTGTTGTAGTTAATTGCTCAATATTCGGTCGTAAGAAAAAATTAAAAGAAAAATATCTCGCTAAACACAATGCGGTATTTGATCATATCGATTTGGCCACCTACGAAGAAGTAGTCAAACTACCATGTAAGTGTATTATTCAAGTGTCATTCTTAGACGATGTAATAACACTTTAGTGTCGTGCACTAACCCTGATTTCTGTATTTCAGCATTCCAACGCAAAACGTTAGTTCTTTTGGGCGCCCACGGAGTCGGCCGAAGGCATATAAAAAACACGATCATTCAAAAACATCCGGACAAATATGCTTATCCAATGGCTCGTAAGTCAACAATACTGTCCACGGGGGGAGGGGGTGCAGGGTGAAAATAACGAGAAAAATATTGCTCGTTTTATAAAATGTTTAAATATAATGTGACTATAATAATTCGTTACGGTTTAGATACGACGAGACCGTTGAAACCGGGCGAAGAAAACGGGGTAGCCTACTATTTCGTTACTTATGACGAAATGATGACCGACATAAATGCACACGAGTACTTGGAATATGGTAAGCCTAACATTTATATCCTTAAGAGGACGCCACCCAAACATTTGTTGTCTCCGTCTTACACACGCGTGACATAGCAAATTGTCGTTCATTAGTTTCAATAGTGTGCTGTTATAGTTTTGATACTTGAGTGAATTGACCTATATTATAAAACTTTTAGGTATAAGAACATTATCTGTGCTTAAGCGTTGCCGATTTTTCGAAATTTTCATTTTCAAGCAAGATATGGGTATGGGAAATATCAAAAATTAAAAATGCTCGTATCTCGATTGAAAATTAAAATATCGTATAAAAGCCAACGCTTAAGCACAGATAATGTTATCGTCTAAAAAATTGATAACAGGTCAAATCCCTCATATCAAAACTAACAGCACGCTATTGAAACCAGTGAACGAAAATTTGCTATGTCGTCCGCGTGTGTAAGACGGAGACAACAAATGCACGGGTAACATCATCTTAACTATGTGATATTATATTAAATAATATGATATTATATAATATATGTTGTATGCACGTATTAGCTCCGGACAATGTGTAGAAGTATATTATGATATAATATGTGTATATAAGCTTGGTACCGTGTATCCGGAGATTTCGAAAACTTAATCGAGCACTTAAATATTTTCGAATTCTCCAGATATACACGACTTGTGTTTTAACTAAAATATGACCCGCGTCGTAGCTGTATATTATTATAGTAGTGTAAGCGTGCACTATACGCTTTATCGCAGACGCCCTCGCGTGAACTATTGTCCGGAGTTATTTTGTTCATCGATAATAATTATATTATGCTTTTCCTACGAGTGGATAACATGAACTGTTAAGTAGGCACCCACGACGATGCCATGTACGGCACGAAGCTGGACACGATAAGGAAGATCCACCACGAGGGCAAAATCGCCATACTGGACGTGGAGCCGCAGGCGCTGAAAATATTGCGGACGGCCGAGTTCGCGCCGCTGGTCGTGTTCATCGCCGCTCCCCCTCACCGATCGCTTACCGACGTGAGTGCACTTGCAGAGTGAAATTTATACGAGCCACCATTTACAACTCGCAGAGCCATTTAGGGGCGCCCCTGGGTAGTAAAATTATTGTGTGCGTGAGCCCCACCTATTATCGACTGGACCGTCCGTCCGGTGTGCGGGTAGTGGTATTTATACCTGCTGATGATAACGAGAAAAACTCGTGAAATGGAATTGATTCGAAAAATTCGCCGACATAAATTATTGATAAAAGTGTTTGCCTATAAAATAAGAGAACGACCTGCTCCCTTATATTTTTACCAATCTAGCCGCCATCATTTTGCGGTCCTCTCGTCACTTTAACGCGTGGCTCTGAGAATTTATTATAGTTAGATACTTACATAATATAATTACTATCGACGTTCGATTGAATCGATATGGCGTTCGTATATTGGAATGGGTCAAACTTAAGTTTTCACGAGCTTGGATTAATTTTTATTCGAACTTTTCGTACGTTTTGAACCTTTGAACTTTAAATTTAATTTAGTTATCCATTTTAATTTTAAACCGATAAGAGAAATAAAGTAAATACAAATGGTATTCTACGGTATGGATATTTAAATTTTATATAATATAGGTAAATTATATTTACAATATATTTACAGCATGTCGATATCGAACTTGATTTTTTTCAAGCAGTTCGAAATGTTCGAGTTTCGAATTATTCGATTTTGAGTATTTAATTTTCAACAAACTTTGATCCGTTCGCATTCCTGGAAGTTTGAGAGTTCGATAAGTTCAAGAACCCATCCCAAATTATATTGTCGCATGATAAATAATTTAATATTATAATAATTAAATAAATACCTGCTTTTCAGTTCGACGGAAGTTTGGAAAAACTCGCCAACGAATCCGAACTGCTACAGCGGGCGTATGAGCATTTGTTCGACATCACTATCGTCAACGAAGATATCGAAGAAACCATCGACGAGTTGGAAAGGGTAATGGAACGAGTGCACACAACACCTCAATGGGTGCCTGTAGCATGGGTATATTAGAATTTAAATGTGAGTATACACACATCGACCAACGGTTGGATTTCTTTATTAAACCACTTGAAAATCAAATAGTTTGTGCTTTATACGATTTTTTTAAAGCGTTCGAGTGGAGTGATGTTTAAAAAAATACCCCTTACTTAGGTACCTGAAGTCTTCGCAGTTTCTGTTTTACTCTCTATATTGGTGAAAGAATATTTCCACACCTGATAGGCAGCACTTGAATTGGGGAGGGACGGGGTAGGCTTTATAGCCTTTTTTAGCGTACCCCTTGTACGCTAAAAAAGGGGACGCTTATATGTCCTAATAAATAAGAAATTTAAATATTCGAGTACCTATACTTAATTTTTTTATATTTCTGAATCTCTCTTCTTTATTTTTCCATTTCAAGCACTGCAGCTTATATAGGTATATTATATTTTTAAATACATATTATTGTTACAATACTGAAAACTCCTCGCGCTTGTTAAAACCGTATAAAGTACTACGCAGTGGTGTTATATATCTGGACATTAAAATACCAGTGGCAAAACAATTTAGTGTGCCCGGCCCAAAAAGTTGGCCCATTTGCATGGCGGTATGTTAAATTATTGTAATACTCCTTCGCCCAAACAGAATATTATAGTGCGCAGACACCAAAACAATTCTATCTCCGCCGCGGCATCGCCCATCGCTCCAGGATCGGTGGTTCTCCCAGCTATAAGATGAGAAATTATGTGCCGTACAGGTCATGCCGATGGCATAAAACGCAAGTGGGATGTTCGTAATTGTATAGGATTGTCATTTAAATGTTTATAAATACCTGTATACCAATTCAAAAAATATATAATTAATTTAATGGTATGTTTACTTAATATAAATTTTGATTGTTTAATATATAATTTTGTTAAATAGTTTTTCTAAACTAGACTTATTTAATAATAATAATAATTTACAAATTAGAAAAGAATGCACTCAAAACATTTTTGTATTCATATAACACTTTTATTTAATCCTCGCTCCTTATCAGATTTTTTTCCTATACATAACGATATTATTTTTAATTTATCTTTTTTTGAATTATTTCAAAAACAACATAATTGCCACTTGTAGAAACAAAATAAATAGGTACAGTGTAGTGACGCCGTCGTGTTTCTCGGGCAAACCGAGTATTCCTATATTTCTGGCTATTTAATATGAGTTTGAATGTGTACATAAAATGCGTATAAATTGACGGTCTGATGTTGTCTCTGCGTGTGCTATAATCGCCAACGACGAAACAAAAAAATATTCGTCCGTGTGGGTTATAATCTTAAGTACATATATCCCAAAACAGACTAGAGGCCCGGTGTGGCGGATTCATAAAAAGGCCCTCTCAATCGGCTATAAAATCTTTTGCCGTTTTGCTATTTATTTTTATGTTAACATTTCTCAATTGTTTGAATAACTTGAATCCGCCGATATTGTGTTGTTCATCGAATTATTAAATTTATTATGTTTATATTTTATATTTATTACGACAACTACACTAATAAGTAATAACAAACTTTTAGGACGTTTAGAGTACGGGATGGGCCTCATCGGCCCATCCTATTCCTCCCATCTCCCCTTGCCACTTTCCATCCATTTTATAGTCAATTTAAAGCATAGGTTCCCAAAAAGGTTTACGCCTCCCGTATTATAAACATTTTTATGTGCCTTTTTTTTAGCAAAACTGGGCATGGAGTATTAATTTTATTATACTTATATTATACGCAATCTCGTTTGAATTATTCATAATTCGTATTTTTTTCAACCAAAAAAACATAAAATAATAAATAATTGATTGACTTTTACGATATTCTATATTTGCTCATAATTATTTGCAATCGAATTCAACAAAAAAAAATAATGTCATTGGGTTCCTTTGAGCGTGGATACTGGACACATATATATTTAAAGCTTGTCCATTATAATATAGGTACAAACCTTTTTTTTATACACATAACTGAAGTTCGCTTTAATAAATTATATAAATGTATACCTTTTAAAAATCATTAACGACAGTAAAATGCGAACTTCAAAAAATTATATTTTAACGATTTCGACATTTTTTTTTTTTTTTTGCGGTCGTATGTGATCCCTTGCTGTGTTATTGTTCGAACCCAAGTGGCATTATGCCATTGTTACGTCACTGGTAAAGTAATGTTTAATGTTTTATAATACAAACAAATTACAAAATCTTATTCATTACATTTTTTTTTTCAGGCTACCAATAATAAACTAACATATGATCTTGAGTGCCACCAACATGAAATCGGTTCAACATTTTGTACATTGAAAAAAATCTGACTCACACTTAACACATAGATCTGCAAATTTCTGTACCTAATTTGGTTTATTAAATTAATTTGTTTTTCTTTTGTAATATTAGCGTTAAGTGGTAACTAATCACAGATCTCATTAATTTATATTAATATTTTTTTTATTAGAAACGAAAGGGCGAGTGTTTATTACGTTAATTTATTTTCTCCAAATTGTTAGGTCTATGTTTTGGGTCCAATAATATTATTATGTTAACGCAACTAATACACACGCCTAACACCAACATTCCCCAATAATCATTTGTTATAACTATAGCAATATTTTGACAACTCATTAACATTTATTATTTTAAACCTTACTGTAAGCTACATAAATTAATTTATTTTGGTACCTATTAAGTTGATCCCGAAAAATCAAAATATTATTATTAATATTATACTTGTTGACTTATTTAGTCGCTATTTTGTTGTTATAATTGTATTGCTCGCGAGAGTATTTTCTTTATAATTAAATATGGATTATACATAGTTACTCATTTTGTTAGTGACTCGTTGTAGCTTCTATTGAAGCTTTTTTGACTTAAATAACAATGTACAGGATACCTTGACTAATTTATTTTCGTCTAAATCATTCTTTTTTTCCTTTTTCGATTATTTTACAGCTGCTCGAACAACATTCGTCACTATACATGAAATTATTCCAAAATAGGTTTATACTTTAGACCATTTACACACGTTACAGACAATGCACTTACGCACCTATAAGCACCGTCTCAACTGTTATTGTGCTGTTTCTGAAAAAGTATACAAACTTGCAAGTTGCAGTATCTATTCGTGTGAACACGTGTAACATAATCATGTGACTGGTGTACCATAATAATATCATGCACATTCGGTTTATACTAGGTACTTGTATATTATTTATTATCATTGATTATGATTTATGAATATTATAGTTGTCCAACTGCGGTACAAAATACGCTACGCTACTTATCTACTAACGATAACTCATCACCACGACACCAGCATCGCTACCTAGGAGATTTAGCGAAGCATATTTTGTACCTTAGTTGGGCAGGTATCTATAGTAGGTATTCATAATCAATGATAATAATATTATGTTACCGGAAATAATATATTGTCCCCGTAATCTATTGTACAAATGTGTCCAACTTTAGATGGAAACATGGTCATTTTTATTTATAAGAAATGTATTAGATATGACAGGTAAGTAATGTTAAATAAGTTTAAATTGATTTTATAAATGACCGAAAGTTTCAGAGACCAACACGGTACATTTTATATACATTTATCAAACTCATGTTGTAATGTTTGATTACGGAAATTAAATAGATAAGACTCATTATACACATTAAATTGATGAATGAAACACACTATAGATACCTATCATAATAATAATATTGCAAACGAAATAGTAGCTTAGTTCTACTATACTTACATATAATTTAATCTGCATATTATTAAGCGTTAATGTTTGCTACATTTCATTTAACATATTTTCGAAAAAATGTATTTGAATTGTAGTTTTAAAAACAAAACTCATATAAAAAAAAAAACATAGTTTGACTACTTTGTTTTTACACGATATGTTAAATAAATAATCATTTCTGCGACGGTAAAAGTTATTCAACATGTCAAAATATATGGAATTTGGAATGTTATTGTTCGTTTTATAAAAGTATTATTGTATTACATAATGTAATTGTTAGTACCTACCTGTATTTGTTGGTAGTTGGTACAACATAATGTTAGGTATGCTGATATTCCATACAATAATCAGTAATGACTCATGACATTCATATTATGGCATATTATAATAAATTAATAATGCCAAACAAAAAAAATTTGTTCGCTGGCTCCAGCAGACGAGGCTTTGTAAAATTATACTAACTCATAATATAATATTACTGAAGTACGTGATCTTGAGGGTTTGATAATAAATTCACACTGTGATTCCATCGTAGAACTCTAGTACAGCAAATGGTATCTTAAATTTAATTCCACTTGGAAATTAGTATAACTAACTAATGACTAGAGCTTGGATTTGTATGCATTTGCATATTTTTACTGGCCGATCTTAATGTATGCTAAGTAAGCACAAAATTAATTTTGTGAAAGTGTGATTAAAAATACCAACTTCTATAGAACATTTCAACGTCTTACAGTTTTTAGACCATATTTTACAACTGTAACGTCAGATTTTGTATTTTTATGGCAATATGAATTATTTTTGTAGCTTAAATGTTATGCATAATTTTCAAGTGAATAAAAATAAATATTTTAATAAACCGTCAATTCACTAGGCGTAAAAATCAGAAATCAAAGTCCATACAAACCCAATAACGTATTATTTTAGCCATATTTTTTTTCTACATTCTACAATAATTTTAATATCCTTTTTTCAGAAATTATAATTAGATAGGCAGGTTTTAAATATAGTAAATTAATAAATAAGCATTGCTGAAACTTGTTTTATATTAATTATAATTAATAGTATATAGTAATAAGTAATATCTAATGACTGGTTATAATATGGGACTAACAAATAACTATGTAGAACTTATTCTAGTTATTTATCTGACACGACGTGTAGAACTGTAAAAGTTTCGGAAGAGTGATGAGGACTAAAAAAAAAAACAATAAGAGTTTATTTAAAGTTTCTTTTATATAATGTCCGATGTCAGTAGTTATCACTCACTT